ACCCAGCCCCCTGCTCCTCTCCTCCCCTCTATACTGTCTGTTCCTGGAGAACAGAAATGGATCTTTTTCATCTCTGGAGCCACAGTGTACAATGTCCACCACAAAAGTGGTGCTCAAGAAAGAAACCAGGAGGGAGAAAACATGGAAGCGGGGAGGGGGACAGGGAGTGGGGGAGGGAGGCAGGGAGGAACGTGCAGGCAGAAGAGAGGAGGAGAGCGGCCCTATTCATCATGAGTAGACAATTAGCCCATGGTAATAGAACGAGCTAACAAACTGCTGGACAAGATAGATGAGCAGTAACCCACAGGAGCAAAGGGTGACCCCCTCCCCGACCCACCTCATATCTTGGTCCAAGTCAGTGCTCCCCTGCCCATCCGTGGACTCTTGGGCCTCCAGGATGGAGGGAGGTCCTTGAATTTACCTTCATGAAGTGCATTTATCTACACAGATGTCCGGGCTGCAGTGGCATGGGTGAAGCTCAAGCTGTGGGCTGTGAGCCCGCGTCTTTTGTTGAGGTCCTGCTTCTCTGAATGACTTTGAGTAAATCACTTAAGCTCTCCAGGCCTCACCAGCAAGTGTTCTTATCCATTAAACGATATACTGTGTGAGCTCTAAGATTCCTTCTTGCCCCAGAAGGAGCAAGGGTATCCTGTGATACCCTGCCGTGCCGGCCAACTTCTGCCTCCCCTGCCATCCCGGGGCCTCTGGACTCTGTTTGTAGTAAAGGCCTTGGGAATGCAGCCCTTCCCCTCCAGCCACTGCCTCCTCCCTGGACAATTACCAGTTCTCACAATTACAGGCCTAATATTTGAGGAAAACAGCACTACCTCCTGACAAGCAGACAGGATCAGGAAACAAGGTAACAGTACTAGGGTGCAGGCAAGCACCAAATCTCAGGCCGGATGCAGAGGTCGGCGTCGAAGGTTGCTCCGGCAAGACTTACACAATCTAATTCAATCCACCCAGTCCCAGGCCCAGTCCTTTCTCAGTCAAGCATGCTCCAGGGCTGCACAGATGCCTGCAAATCTTCCCTCAGTTCCCTCGGCTACTCCAGAAGTCCTCTCCTCAACAGCCCATTTTCTGTTCTCTCTCCTACTTTTCCCAACGAGTCCCCAGTTTCTCCACATCCCTTTTACTAAGAGTGCATGAGCATGAAGTCCTGTCTTCAGGGAGGCAAAGAGACTTCTTGAATTTGTCCACTGCACAGACACATTAGCTGCCCGTGATTAAAGACAGCACAAAATCCACTCTCATCTTCAACTCTCCAGGGAATGGGAGAATAGAATAGAGGAGGCTGGCTGCTTCTTCTGAGACTGGAAGGGAGAAGGTGGGTACAGATGAAGATATTTGCCCTGGGGAGGGGAGAGGGCAGGAAGTCAACTCATATTAATGTTCAAAGCACTTAGGAGGATTCTGAGAAGGGTCCTGAGGATGAATGCAACCCATCCCTCTCCTAAAGGACTTTCCTGTCTAGTGAGGGAGCCTGGCACATGAGCTATAAATGGTAATTTGCATAAAGCATCCTGGAAAAAACTGCCTAATGCAGCATGCTGAGGGAGTTCCAAGAACGGAGTCATTGATTCTGTCTGGGAAAGAATCAAGATTGGCATCCAGGAGGAAGTAGAACTTGAAGACTTTTAGAGGTTTCTGTGTTAGTGACTAGCAATAATAATAACAGGCTGCACCTTTGCTGCACCTTGTGGTTTACAAAGCGCCTTTGCGGCCTTCGTTCCATTTGATTCCATTTGTTGGCAGGTTTCCATGCACTTCCACAGCCATTGAGCCTACCATGCAGCAGACACAGCCATGGCTCCTAAGATGAAAACGCAGGTTTCAGAAGGGAAGCAAACAAACAGTAACAACAAGGCAAAGTGTGAGTTCTGAAGGGAAGCCTCAAGTTATTGTGGTGGCAAAAGGGAGTGTGGAGCTTAACCCAGGCTTGAGCGTGGAGAGGAAGTTTGGAGACAGAATTAGGAGTAAAATGCTGTAATGGATGCCAGGGATGAGCAGGATGCATGGCTGACCAGAAGGACAAGATGGAAAAGAACATTCTGGAACAGCATAAGAAAAGGTAGCAACTGAGCATAGTTAGATGAGTCTAGGGAGGAGATGGGGACAGAAGAGCTAAAGATATAAGCAGGCCGGGCACAGTGGCTCACACCTGTAATGCCAGCACTTTGGGAGACTGAGGTAGGCAAGTTCATTGAGCCCAGGAGTTTGAGACCAGCTTGGTTGACATATAAAAACCCCATCTCTATAAAAAATACAAAAAATTAGCTGGGCGTGGTAACCCATGCCTGTAGTCCCAGCGACTTGGGAGGCCAAGGCGGGAGAATCACCTAAGTCTAGGAGGCTGCGACTGCACTCCAATGTGGGTGACCGAGTAAGACCCTATCTCCAAAAGTAAGAATAAAAAAGATCCAAGCAGATGCAGGATCACCCCCAGGACAATCCTGGGGCACAAAGGGCAGTAGAGGCAACATCAGAATTACTTAAAGAGCTTCTTCAAAATACACACATCCTGGCCGGCATGGTGGCACACACCTGTAATCCCAGTACTTCAGGAAGCTGAGGTGAGAGGATCGCTTGAGGCCCAGAGTTCGAGACCAACCTGGGCAACACAGCAAGATGCTGTCTCTACAAAAAATTTAAAAATTACCAAGGCATGGGGGTGCATGTCTGCAGTGCCAGCTACTTCGGGAGCTGAGGTGGGAGACCTGCTTGAACCTAGGAGTTTGAGGTTGTAGTGAACACCATTGTGTTCCAGCCCAGGCCACAGAACCAGAACCCAAGAACTTGTCTTTAAAAAAAAGAAGAAAAAAAAACACCACACATCCCACATCCCATCTCCCCCATCCCCAGATCCTGGGACTCCTAAGAGGTGGCTACCTGCAGTGGTCTCACAAACTCCTTTTGAAAATAAGAAACAAAACTAAGCAGTCTTCCCCATGCACTTCTGATTTCTAAGCCATCCCCTTCACCCCCTGGGTTAAGATGACTGTAGAAATGCATTTCACCATCTCCCTATCACTCCCTAAATCAACAAGAGGATTCTCTTCCTGTCTCCTGGCCTCCTGGTTAGAATGAACCATGCTGGGCCCAGGGCTACCCACCTGTAGCCTCAAATTTTGGGACTCATGCTCTGTTTTGCATCTCCTCTACAGCAGCACCATTAACCAGGCCTCTGTGGAATGACCTCTGTTGACTCTGTGTATTAGTCTTTTTTCACACTGCTGATAAAGATATTTCCAATACAGGAAAATTTACATATAAAAGAGTTTTAATGGACTCACAGTTCCATGTGGCTGGGGAGGCCCCACAATCATGGTGGAAGGTGAAAGGCACTACTTACATGGCAGCAGACAAGAGAAGAGAACTTGTGCAGGGAACTCCCCTTTATAAAATCATCAGCTCGCATGAGATTTATTTACTGTTATGAGAATAGCATGGGAAAAACTCACACCCATGAGTCAATTACCTCCTCTCAGACTGTCCCACAACACATGGGAACTGGGGGAGGTAAAATTCAAGATGAGATTTGGGTGGGAATACAGCCAAACCATATCACTCTGCTAGACCCTCTGGCTCTGACCCCTGGCCTGTCTAGATTTCTGATGGCCTCCCAAGCCCTGTCTGTAGCCTCATATATCAGGCTCTGTATTGACTCAACAGCTTGGGTTAGAATTATGGTTACAGTTAGGGTCGGCTTAGTCTCATCCCTAGTCCTATCAATTGCATCGCCTGTCCCAGGACGGCCGATTGAAGTTTCCCAGGCTCCACAGGGACTGCAGGATGACTGGCCGTCTTTTCATTGGAGGGGGGAGGGACTTCTTTCCAGACACAAGAAGGAGAATGTACAGAGGCACAGAAAACATAGCAAGTCTTAAAAGAATGTGGGACTTGAGAGACTGCAAAAACACAATGTGGCTGCAGCATGTGGCAGGTACCAAGGGGCAGGGAGGATGACGCTGGGAAGCCAGGCTAGAGCGAGCCCTAGAAAGGCCTTATTTACAGACGACCTGCCTGTGGAATATAAAACGCTCCCATATGTGATCATTTGGGGGGTCCTCACTCAGCTTTCTAATCTCTGAATTATTGGGCTTCTGCATTCTTAGGAAGTTTCTCGATGGTAAAGGTGTCATTTAAAATTAAGTTGGGTCCCAATAAATAAGATAGTGACCATCTAGTGACACTAGGGAGAGTAGAGAGAGGTTGAACTTGAGATTTTTATGAAAGAAGCAAAATTAGGAGGCTGTTGTGAATGATCAGAGGGCATATACTAGCCAAGGATACTTGTGGTCACCAGAACATTCAACACAAACTGGCATAAGCAGTAAAGGAAGCTGGTTTGCTCATGTAATAGGAAGAGTGCAGCAGTAAAGTGGGCTTCAGAGGTGCTTCACTGAGATGGACCCTGGGCCCCGACTCTGTTTCTCTGTGATCCACTGGGCTCTGCCTCCCTCAGTGATGGGCTGTGTCCTCTTGCTGGGTTTCTTCATGGTAGTAAAAGGGACTGAGCTTGTCCCAACCTCATATTTGTGCACCACCTTCTTCAAAACAAAAAAGAAATTTTCCTTTCTCCAACCATCACACAAAAGTCATCCATTCACTCTATTTGGACCAGTCAGAACCAATCTCCTCAGGGCCACACAATGAATGCCGTGGTCAACCTCTAAGCTAATTTAAGGCAAGAGAGAGAGAACCATTAAAGGATGTGTTCAAGGGCCTTGGACTAATCAGGGTCCACCATGTGGGCTAGGGCTGGAGTAAATACCTGGGGATGCAGGTGGGAGAGGAGTAATTCCACGAATTAAAATCTGGGTGCTGTGAGCGATAGGAGAGGGAAGGAATGGACAGTGGGTAAGAAGCCAACCCTTGTCCATGCTAGAGGGTGAGGAAGGAGAAACTAGGGACTCTTTGGTTCCAAGACTGTGGATGTGAAACAACCTTAACAAAGCCTGGAGATACAGAAGAAGCAGGTTTGGAGGTAGGCGGAGAGGTGAGGGAGAAAAATAAATTTATTTTTGAATTTTCAGTGACTAAAAGACATTTAAGTGGAGATATTTGATGATCAATTCTGGATCTTTCCAGGAACCCCACACCACTAAGTGATCCCACGGTTTATCCCAACACTGTGCCGAGTCTCTTTAGAGTTCTGAAAAACTCCACAGTTATTGATTAACCATTAGGGATTCCCTCCGTCCCGACATAAGTATTTCCTCTTCTTCAGAGGAGCAGCCTCCAAATAACCGGAAATGGGGCTGAGCAGGTGCAGATCAGAAGAAAAAACATTCCTCTTAATGTGAAAAATTAATTTGTGGCTCTAATTGCTTCAAACTCCGAAGGAAAAAAGGAAAATCTCTATTCTCCCAGCATTCAAAATAGAACACAGGCTTTACCTGAATAAAGAAAATAATCTGTCAAGGGAAAAATCAGAACTTATGCTGCTTGAATGTCAATCTTACAACACTGTAAAGGAAAAGCAGGTTTAATTACAGTCAAATCTACATGGAATCATTGTTGAATGGTGTGCACAGGAGCCTAAAGGTCTAAGATTTCAGACTTGACAAGACACTTCAACAAAGGCTGGTAGAAACAGCCAAGTGTCACAAGGTGGGGTGTGGGCAGACTTGACTCTGGACTGGAGTTCTGTCGTATGGAACAGAGAGGACCAAAGTGAAAATGTTCTCAAGTGGCCTTTTGAATCGATAAAATCATCACAGAAAATTAAGTCTAGACTTTCCGCCCTGAAATAACTATGTTATTTTCTAGAACACAGCCTTAATGGTTGTTCCATACCCCCGTGAAGAACACACAAAGAAATGGCCTGGAATTTTCCAATTCACCAATGTCAAAACAGAGGCTAAGAGAAAGGACCCATCTGAAGTGATCCAGAAAACCAGTGGTGACTCTGAACTTGAGGAACTAGAGCAATATTGTGTCTCAGAAGCCAGGCCCCAGAGCCACAAACTAAAAATAAAAGGCAGTTGGTGCTCACTCCACAGAACATAAGCCTATCCTTACCCAGCTTTCCTATGTCCTCCCCTCCTGTTTCCCACAAAAGAGAATTTGCAGAGAAAAATAACCCATGTCCTCTTAGCAAAGCAATTTATCTGCACCAGGGTCTGTAAACACTGGAGGGAGCATCTGGACAACTTGAAAGAATATATTTTTTACTAAGCTTGAAGGGAAGTACCTCACGGGGCACCTGCAGGCCTGCAGACAGATGCAGGTGCCCTCTGGTCCTGCACCCAGGCCACTCTGCCTGGGCAGTGCAAATGGCCTCTCCCCAGCTCCCATCACTAGCCTAATCATGACTAGCCTAACACCCAGCCTGGAGAGCAGTGGCATGATCTCGGCTCACTGCAATCTCCACCTCCCAGTTTCAAGCAATTCTCCTACCTCAGCCTCCTGAGTAGCTGGGATTACAGGCACCCATCATCATGCCCTGTTAATATTTTTATTTTTAGTAGAGACGGGGTTTCACCGTCTTGGCCAAGCTGATCTTGAACTCCTGACCTTGTGATCCATCCACCTTGGCCTCCCAAAGTACTGGAATTACAAATGTGAGTAATTTTTTGGCAGTGGCAACCCACCAAAAAAATATGTTTCTATGCCTTCTCTCTTGTTTTCTTGTCCTTCTCCTTCTATTCAGAGAAAACCCAGTGGAGGAACTCAGTTCTTGGTACTGTTTATGTCTTCCCACCCCTGTGTTACGTCTCCTGAGATCTTTAGGCGTACTGAGAAAGCACTGGAGAGACCAAAAAGAATAAGAGAACCTAGAAACATATCAAGGCAGTAAACTGCAGCGATTATCAACTCGGAAACAAGAGCTGAGTCACATGTAGCACATACAGACAGGAGGACTCCATGCTAGGAATGTCTTCCCTTAGGACAATGTTCAGGGGCCAAATGGTGCCTGCAGAAGTCAGAAGCTCCCAGCTGCTTCACAGATCAGTCTTTGGGAACCCCTGGAGAGGCTCCCTAACTCAAGGCAATATGAAGATAACAGAAACATTGGTTTGCCAGTCAATAACTGTGCGCCATAGAATGACAATTACACATGCTTCATTATGCAGTTAATGTGGACATAATCCTACAAACAATAAGAAGTATGCATAGGCTTCTGATATTCACTTCCAGTCTCCCGGCATTAAGGAGCTGGTGAAGCCCCGTAGTCAGATGTGACGAGGAGTTGCCTTTGTCTCCTCCCATAGGATTCATTTTCTTCCCATGTTATCCAGCCTCTGCAGTCTCTGTGTCCCAGGCTGTTCTTGTTCCATGCCAGTCTGTGCCAGAATGGTTACTTCCTGATATCAGTGTCATTATTATAAATTGCAGAAAATATCTGCCTCTTGGCCCTGGATTTTAGAAAGTGGCTGCGTCTGCTGTGGTTATAGAAGAGTGCCTACTTTCCCTCCAGTGCTCTCTGCCGAATGCCCAGTTGTCAATAATTCACCATTTCAGGGCTGGCTTTTTCTTCTACATGATGACTGTGGCTTTCTGTCTCTCTCGGAGTACCTCTGCCTGCAAGCTCTGTGTTCCCCAAAATTCCTAAAAGAAGATTGGGAACGTATCATCTTTCTTCTTTGGACAGGAATAGCAATTTGCAAACCCAAATGAAAATTGTTTCTCTTCCCCAACACAGCGAAAACATTGGTGGCTTGCTGCCTCTGACACGTCTTGCCTGCCTGCAGCCCTAGGCTTGATTTTCTGACCCTTTGGCACCCTCTGTTGTGTTAGAACGCACTTGGCAAATGTGTCCTGATCACGGCTCATCTTGTGTCATGCCTGACTCTGGCATAACAGTGTAATTGCATCAGAGAGTCAGTTGGAACCATGTAAGTTTCGAGGAGACAGGATCCTAGGTAATCAATCATATTTTTGCTGTAACATACCTTTTACTTTCTAGGAGTTGGCAGAGGGTTGGTTACTGTAGGCAGAATCTATAATTAGCAATCAAATATATTTAGATGACAGAATCTATCCCAGTAGAATATTTTACCCCGACTTCCTTTAGATCTAGATACAATATGTAGATATGAGGAACCCGACTACACTCCTCTAAGGAGTGTTTGGATCCTGGAGCTGTGAAACGGCATTGCTATCACACTATATATGATGGTCCTATATGCAAACTTGAAACGGTTGTCTCTGTGAATCAGTAATTAGTATTTGTTCTCAGCTAAAACATTTTGAAATGTATTTCCAGGTAGAAACAACCGAAGTGTTCATTTCATTAGACAATTTTTGGGAACAGATAAACAGAATGTGGTAGACACATACTGTGAAACATTATTCAACCTTAAAAAGGAAGGACATTCTCAGCTATGCTATAACACGGAGGAACCTTAAGGACATGAAGTGAAATAAGCCAGTCACATAAGGACAAATACTGTATGATTCCACTTACATGAGATACTTAGAGTAGTCTAAGTATCTAACTTTATACATAGAGAAAGTAGGCCAGGCATACTGGCTCAACGTCTGTAATCCTAGCACTGTGGGAGGCTGAGGTGGGCAGATCGCTTGAGTTCAGGAGTTCAAGACCAGCCTGGGCAACATAGTAATACCCCATCTCTACAAAAACACAAAAAAATTAGCCAGGCATGGTGGCGCGTCCCTGTGGTCCCAGATACTGAGGCTGAGGTAGGAGGATTGCTTGAGCTTGGGAGGCAGAGGTTGTAATGAGCTAATATCCTGCCACTGCACTCCAGCCTGCGGGCCAGAGTGAGACCCCATCTCAAAAAAATTTTTTTTTAAGAAAGAAAGTAGAATGATGGTTGCCAAGGGCTGGGCACAGTGGCTCACACCTGTAATTCCAGCACTTTGGGAGGCCAAGGCGGGTGAATCACATGAGCTCAGGAGTTCTAGACCAACCAGGCCAACATGATGAAACTCCATCTCTACTAAAAAATTTTAAAGATTAGCCAGGTGTGGTGGTGAATGCCTGTAATCCCAGCTACTCGGGAGGCTGAGGCAGGAGAATATCTTGAGTCTGGGAGGCAGAGATTGCAGTGAACCAAAATCATGCCACTAAACTCCAGCCTGGGTGACAAAGCAAGACTCCATCTCAAAAAAAAAAAAAAAAAAAGAATGGTGGGTTGTGGGGAAGGGAAAGACAGAAAATGAGTTATTGTTAAGAAGTACCAAGATTCAGTTTGGGTAAATGAAAAAGTTCTGGAGATGATGGGGTGACAGTCACACAACCACATGAATGTACTTAGTGCCACTGAACTATATGCTTAGAAATGGTTAAAATGGTGGATTTTAAGTTATATGTATTTACCACATTTTTTTTGTTTTTGTTTTTTGTTTTTGAGACAGAGTTTCGCTCTTGTTACTCAGGTGCTGGAGTGCAATGGCGCGATCTTGGCTCACCGCGACCTCCGCCTCCTGGGTTCAAGCAATTCTCCTGCCTCAGCCTTCTGAGTAGCTGGGATTACAGGCACGCGCCACCGTGCCCAGCTAATTTTTTTGTATTTTTAGTAGAGATGGGGTTTCACCATGTTGACCAGGATGGTCTCGATCTCTTGACCTTGTGATCCACCCGCCTCAGCCTCCCAAAGTGCTGGGATTACAGGCGTGAGCCACCGCACCCGGCCACCACGATTTTTTTTAAACATGATATGAAGAATTCATTTCCAAGTGAGGATTTTTAATATTTCCTACAATATCTGACTCTGTGATTGAAATGGTTTCCAAATGACACAAATTAGTTCTCCTGTGATCTTAATATATACAGAATACCTAGAATCTCACATGCATGAGAATATGGTGGCATCCAACTGCAGAGATGTCAAAGTCCAGAGCAACAAACCACTCCGGCCTTTTTCTTGGTTTTCTGGACAACCCGCCTAAAAGGTTTTTTCTGTTCTTCAAAATCCAAAAAGGTATGTCTTGTAGTTCAAATGCTGTTCATACATAATTTCTAATCCTGGCCAGTTCAAGATTAGCCTGTCCAAAATGGTGAAACCCTGTCTCTACTAAAAATACAAAAATTAGCTGGGTGTGGTGGTGGGCACCTGTAATCCCAGTTACTCGGAGGGCTGAGGCAGAAGAATCACTTGATCCCAGGAGGCGGAGGTTGCAGTGAGCCGAGGTCACACCATCGCACTCCAGCCTAGGCAACAGTGCAAGACTGCATCTCAAAAAAAATAGAAAGAAAGAAAAAGAAAAAAAAAGAAAGCAAAGGGTCTCTGAAACAATGCTTCTCATCTTAGCTACTCAGCTAACTGGGTAATGCCATCACATTGCCATTATAAAATGAAAATAGGTCATAAATGAAATCCTAATGAAAATAAGTCCTTCTACTCACAGGGGACGTAGACAGGCTAAAAAGGCAAATGCATGGCAAATCATTCTCCACGACAAATCACAGTGAACACTCTACTCTGCATTGTTGCTGCAGCTAATGACCCCAGAAGTGGTGGTGTTCACCACTGCACCTCCCCGGCCTCCTCCACCTGGGGCCTCCTCACTCTGTCTGCCGCTGTCTTGCCTGGACATGCCCTGCCCACTGAACTAAATTGGAGGAAGGAAATGTGTATCATCAGGAACCCATTATTCGAAGATACAAAATATATATATGCATATATTTCCATTTTTTTAACTTTTAAATTCAGGGGTACATGTGCAGGTTTGTTACATAGGTAAACTTGTGTCATGGGGGTTCACTGTACAGATGATTTCATCACCCAGGTATTAAGTCCGGTACTCATTAGTTGTTTTTCCTGACCCTTTCCCTCCTCCCTCCTTCCTCCCCTCTTCCTCCCCCTCCCTCCCTCCTCCCTCCCCCCTCCTCCCCTCCCCCCTCCCTCTCCCCTCCTTCCCCTCCATCCTCCCTCCCCCCATCTCCCCCTCCCTCCTCCCTCCCCCTCCCTCCTCCCTCCTCCCTTGCTTCTCCCTCCCCCTCCCTCCTTCCCCCCCTCCCTGCCCCCTCCCTCCTCCCTCCTTCCTACCTCCTATAGGCCCCAGTGTGTGTTGTTTCTATGTTCATTTTCAAAGAGAGATCTCAAAAGGCCTCACATTACCTGTTCTGTGGTAACTGTTGACAGTATCAGCTTCAAGTAAGGTAAATATTCCTCACCACATAGAAGCTGAAATGAAAATAAGTCACAAATGAAATCCTAATGAAAAGAAGTCCTTAAAACAATCCTTCTTTTCTTTCTTCGGGAACTTTGCAGATGACTCTGCGTTTGATTCCTTTTCTCGTGTCTGACTCTGTTTCTGGGAGTGTTATGTGGTCCCCCAAAAAAAAGTAAAAAAAAAAAAAAAAAAAGGGAAGATGGGCCTTAAAGCCAGAGAGAGAGAGATCCCATTCCTGGCCCTCTCATGTGCCAAGCACTCAGCTCTGGCTCTCTGGAGGCCCCCAGCTGTCTGTCTGAAGATGGTAACACAGGCATCCATGCTGCAAGATTGCAGCAAGAATGAGAAATTCTGTATGAACAGCATCTGAGGCAGTGTGCAATCAGTGACACCAGTGATGGTGATGTCTGCATCACAAACACATATCGGCATTTGTCACACACCAATCAATACGTTTACACCGCCCAGTGCAACCGCGTCTCCCCCACCATTCCCCAGGAAAAGGTGTTCTGCTCAGAGTCCTGGGAAGCAGCACAATCAAGGTGGCCCAGACTCTTTCTCCTTAAACTATTGCCTGTTTTATCAGTGTGGAAAAGTGGGCAAATAGCACCATCACAGTAAGAGTCTCCTCATCCATAAACGTTGTATCAGGCCAGGCGAGGTGTCTCACACCTGTAATCCCAGCACTTTGGGAGACTGAGGCAAGTGGATCGCTTGAGCTCAGAAGTTCAAGACCAGCCTGGGCAACGTGGCAAAACCCTGCCGCTACTAAAAATACAAAAAATTAGCTGGGTGTGGTGGTGCATGCCTGTAGCCCCTGCTATTCAGGAGGCTGAGGTGGGAGAATAGCTTGAGCTGGGAGGCTGAGATGGCAGTGAACTGAGATTACACCATGCACTCCAGTCTGTGCAACAGAGACCCTGTCTCAAAAAATAAAAAAATAAAATAAATGGATGCTGCATCAGGCCTCAATGCTCGAGACCTAAATCTGACTTATATCTGTTTTGGCCAAATTCCATGCTGACCCTCTAGAGACAGCGCCCAAGCCACAGGACTGCTTGGTATTTTCTCCTCACAGCCATGGTTCCTTGCTAATGCTCTTTCTTTTCCCTATCTCCTGCTGTTGTTCTCTTTCCTTTCATATAGACTATATTACCAGAAATATGACATTAAAGATTAAGTACAGGGCCGGGCGTGGTGACTCAAGCCTGTAATCCCAGCACTTTGGGAGGCCAAGGTGGGTGGATCACGAGGTCAACAGATCGAGACCATCCTGGTCAACATGGTGAAACCCCGTCTCTACTAAAAATTACAAAAAATTAGCTGGGCACAGTGGCGCATGCCTGTAATCCCAGCTACTCAGGAGGCTGAGGCAGGAGAATTGCCTGAACCCAGGGGGCGGAGGTTGCAGTGAGCTGAGATTGCGCCATTGCACTCCAGCCTGGGTAACAAGAGCGAAACTCCGTCTCAAAAAAAAAAAAAAAAAAAAAGATTAAGTACAGAGTTCAGCCTGTAATCTCAGCACTTTGGAGGCCAAGGCGGATGGATCACTTGAGGCCAGGAGTTTTAGACGAGCCTGGCCAACATGGAAAAACCCCATCTCTACTAAAAATACAAAAATTAGCTGGGCTTAGTGGTGCATGCCTGCAGTCCCAGCAACTCAGGAGGCTGAGGCATGAGAATTGCTTAAACCCGGGAGGCAGAGGTTGCAGTGAGCTGAGATCATTCCATTGCACTCCAGCCTAGGTGACAGAGTGAGACTCCACTAAAAAAAAAAAAAAAAAAAAAAAAAAAAAGTCATTCTTTGTCATAGGAAATTACTATATATATTCAGAGGAGAATAACAAATACAGCATGTCATGTCTTCCAGAACCTTCCAGAACTCAGTATCCTCATCCTTTAGCATTGGTGCTACCACCAAGGGATATGAATGCATGCTGAGCACAGACACTCATCTTTCTGCCTCACCTTGCCCTATCTCAGGGAGCCTTCTCTCAGGGTCCTTGCTGAGCACTAATGGCAAGTGACCTCATCCCTTCAACCACAACTGGCTGGATCAAGGATAACTACCTGATCCAAGCTGAGCCGATCAGATTCTCTCTTGTAAGAAGTGATCTTTGAAATACAGGAGTTCCAGCTAGCCTCCTGAGAATACTTAAGCTGGAAATTGATCGAGATTGGGAAGACTACATCAGGTCTACATGGAAGTAGAACTGAGAAATGGAGTCTGTAAAAAGCAAAAATAAAGCAGATACCCAGAGAGAAACAGATGAGAATATGCATTGGTGAGAGAGAGAGAGACAGGAGAGAGGAGAGAGAGAGAGAGAGAGAAGGAGGGAGGGAGGGAGGGAGAAGAGAGAAAGCTTTCCTGTCTAAGGGCTTTCTAATTGCTGGTTCCAGCCATTCCTAAGACCTACGAATGTATTCTGTCCTTGAGTTCTTTGAGAGACACTTATATCCTTCTGATGGCTTTCTCTCTTTTTTTTTTGAGCAGGAGTCTCACTCTGTCACCCAGGCTGGAGTGCAGTGGCACAATCTCAACTCACCGCAACCTCCACCTCCCGGGTTCAAGCAATTCTCCTGCCTCAGCCTCCCCAGTAGCTGGGTTTACAGGCAACTGCCACCATGCCCAGCTAATTTTTGTATTTTTAGTAGAGATGGGGTTTTACCATGTTGGCCAGGTTGGTCTCAAACTCCTGACCTCAGGCAATCCGCCCACCCTGTCCTCCCAAAGTGCTGGGATTACAGGCGTGAGCCACGATGCCCGGCCTTCTCTTTTCTCTTAGACTAACTTGAATGGATTCTGTTCCTTGAAAACAAAGAGTCTCTGAAACAACACTCCTCATCTTAGCTGCTCACCCAATTGGGTGATACCATCAGCACAGCCACCAGCAACCACAGTGGAACCCATTTCCCTTGAATGCAGGTAGTTGGGAGCCAGCTCCCCTTGGACAGCAGCGCTAAATGCCAAAAGCACACCATACTAGCTTGTAGTAGCATTTGTTAGCCAAATTATGTGCTGGCAAATGTCTAATAACCAGCTCACCTGGAGGAAAATACTCCCGGTTTGAAACATTTGCCAGTTTCCACGGTGTAGATAGCGCCACCATGGCCACTTCCGATGTTCTGTTGCTGAACGACTGACTTTGGAAAAGATACTCACAGCGGACTCTTAGAAGTCCGGACAAGCCTACATTTTCTGATTGATAAATACTTCCTGACTCCCTTTTATGACTTAGCTCTTGTCATCTCACTCTTGGGTTAATGGTTTAGAGTATTATTAGCTCTATGTCTCTTATTCTGAACCAGTTTAAATCTGTTTTGGAGAAGGCATAGTAAAATCATTTTTAAAATACAGCCTCATTCTTCTCTGAGAACCATAGTTTTATGCCCTCTCAGACACTAAGAAAATAATAATACTAACAATACTGAACACTCATATAGCAATTCACAGCGTCTAAATTAACTCCATGGCATGCTATGGCGGCAAGAACATACGCTTTGCCATCACACTGACCTGCTTTGAATCCTGCGTAAAGGATGCAGTTAGGTTTCTTCTCACATGTAGCGGCTGATTTGTTCCAAGTATTCACCCAGCCTCAGTGTTGGTCTTGGGCATGACAGCCAACATCAGAAAACTCCCAAACAAAGGCCACAACTTTCTCAAGGGATCAGTTGCTCCTTTTGGAAAGGCAGAGCTGACTCTTTAGCTGAGGCTGGAGGCAGAGCATACCTGAGTCCAGCTTTGAGAAACCTTACACACTTCATTTCAGAGACCAGAAAGAAAGCTGGACCCCAAACGCTGCACTTCTTTTTTTTTTTTTTTTTTTTTTTTTGAGACGGAGTTTCGCTCTTGTAACCCAGGCTGGAGTGCAATGGCGCGATCTCGGCTCACCACAACCTCCGCCTCCTGGGTTCAGGCAATTCTCCTGCCTCAGCCTCCTGAGTAGCTGGGATTACAGGCACGCGCCACCATGCCCAGCTAATTTTTGTATTTTTAGTAGAGACGGGGTTTCACCATGGTGACCAGGATGGTCTCGATCTCTTGACCTCATGATCCATCCGCCTCAGCCTCCCAAAGTGCTGGGATTACAGGCGTGAGCCACCGCACCCGGCCACACTGCACTTCTTATGTTCTCTTTGAGCTGTGTTTTTGTCCTCTGGTTCTGCTTGTAAGATACAAATGAGACAAGAATTCCCTGGGAATCATCTCCCTCTGTAGACTGCCAAAGGTGCACATCACCCTAGCGACTGCAGAGGAACAAATGCCCTATGCTGGTGTGCTGTGGGGCTGTCTTGATGGTTCTCCTGTTAGATTTCAGTTTCAGCTCAAACCATTTCCACTTTTACCTTTCCGGTGATTTGATAACAAACCCTGGAGCATGAACCAACTTAACCAATCATCCCTTCAAGTCTCCTTACTCTTGACTATCCCCTACCCCTGGTTTGTAAGAAATCCAAATGTCCCAGGTCCCATTAGTCTTTGAGAACCAAGGAGGTAACTTTCCCAAGAGTAAATGGCTTCCCAAACCCTGCCTGGAGAGCTTTCAAGTCAAGACAAAGATTTTATCTCAGAGCTCCTTCAGTAGGGTCTTGTGTTTTGGACGACAGTTTTCAAAATCCTTAGCAACACATTTCTTACGTGGAATCTCACATCAAAGTCCTGAAAGAGATTTTTTAAAAGTACAGCTGTTCCTTTATGGCCTTTTAAGTCTTTTTATTTTTCAGATTTCAAAAAAAAACAGAAATTGAAACTGGTTAAATTGCAGTGAGGGCCCCAAAAGACTCCTGCAGACCTGAGCCCTGGTCCCTGGCTTATTGAAAAGGCCTTAACACATGGCGGGGAAACCCTAGCGCTCCTCGGGCTCGGTTTGAAAACCACTGCACTAGGAAGTTCTTTCTCTGCCTGTGTGCAGAATTAGGAGCATCCAAAGTGGGTTAACAGCTGGAGGCAAGGAAACCAGTTAGGAAATCAACTACAGTTGATCCAATGAGTGCTAAAAAGACTCAAACTACCTGCAGGTCTTTTTAGGGGGAGACATTCCAGAGACAGAGTAACTAGGACTGGGCAACTGACTGGATGTGAGAGTCATAAGAGACGGCAAAGATGCCTCTGATTTTTCAACCTTGTGTGACTGCAAAAATTATGATAGGAACTCAGCAGAAATGGCACTCAGAAAGAGGAGGAAATAATCCATTTGGTTTGGGGCATGCCATATGTTTTGTCTGGACTAGTTTAGCTTCTCTCTTTTAAACATCCTGGGAGCCCTTCTATCCTAGATTAAGAAGGTGACCTGTCCACAAGTTCCCACAGGAAGCTAGGAGGGGCCCCTTCACCCTTCCTGGGCAGACACGCATAAGACACATGGATACAAAAATATATGCCAGTTGCAAGGGAATAGGATTCCAGGCTGTGAGGTCTATTTACCCCAAAGTCATGGCCAAATGGTCAAGATCAAGCTTCTAAATAAAAACGTGTTCTCTCTCCAGGCTCAGCCCTTCTGAGGACATGGGCTGGCAGCCTTGCTCTCAGCCAGAATGCTGTCAGATCAGATAGTTGACAAATGTTTGCTCAGGGCCTGCTATGTTGGGGTTAGCCTAGAGAGGTGAGATTACTGGCTGTCCTCAAGATTCAACCAGCCTAAGCACACAGATGGGGTCATCCAGACCACTGCTTATTCTCCGGAGTGAGTTCATTCATTTATCTCAGAGTGATCCACAAATAGTGACTTCATGCAGTTATGACCAGGGACGCTCTGTGCTCCGTGACCCAGGCTGGATGCACTTGGCTGTTACAGTTAGAAAGCTGTCACAGAAAGATCTTCCAGTGCCAATCTCCTTTCTCCCTCTGTTTGCCACTGGATCACCAGAGAAGGCAGATGGTACCCTGCAAACACATCCAGAAACCAGGCAAATGTGACTCATGTTGATAATGGAAATCCAGCACTGGACACACCATCGCATGAGACTAACCATTGCAATGAGATCCCGCAGGGAGGAAGGAGAGGCAGACTTCACGTCAACTCAAGGAAGATCATCCCTGATGGTTAAGAGCACAGCCTGCGGAGTCAATCTGCGTGGGTTTGAGTTCTTCCTTTCTCCACCAGTTACCAGCTGTGAACCCTCTCTGTGCCTTAGTTTCTATGTCTTTTAAAAGGGAATAATGATTAATACCTCCTAAGCTGGATGTAAGCATAAAGACAGATAAGCCACGTAGAGATTTCGGCACAGCAGTGGCCACATACCCAATACGTGGTGATCCTTCTTAAGTCCCGTTCCGCATAGGAGTGGGTTGTGCCAGGGGTAGGAGGTGCCCTATCATGTGGTTTTTCCACTCTGCATTTGGACACCTTTGTCAATAAATAATGCAGAGAGATTTCAGCGTGGGCAGGGAGCTGACTCTCTTTTGCTTACTCTGAAGTCACTTTCACAGCTGAGACTGAAATATGGAGTCCAGACACATCCTTTCTTCGTGGGCGCCTGCGTCACCCCATGTCCATGGTGCCAGCATTCACAGGACACCTACTCTGCTCAAAGCATCGTGCACTGTGTCAACAGTGGAGGAATTTTAACCCCAAAGACCAAGCAAGCTTGTGTACAGCCAGCCACTGTGGCCATGGCTTTAAAGACCCCAGGAGAATGACACAGACCAGGCTACGTGCACTGGTCAAACTAGGACTTGTTTTCTATTTCTGTCTTTGGGATTATCTAAGGGATTGGCAGGTCTGTAAATCGCTCCAAGCTGCCTGACCACGCAGACACCAGACCTGCTACCAAAAACACCCTGCCAAGCATGAGGCTGTTTATCAAAACAAGGTCTTCAAAAATCTTTTCTTTCAATTTCCACTCTATTTCCTAATCAAGAAATAGACAATCCCAGGAGAAAAATCAGCTCGCATTTCTCTTCTTCTGTCTCTCAGCCTCTGTCTCACTCTGCCTCCTTCTCTCCCTCCTTTCTTTCCCCCTCTCCCCACCCCCTCTAGCTTTTATCATTTTAAGCTGTATGCATGCCATTCTTCAGGGGATTAAAGTCAAATTTAGTCTTCTGCAATTGTTATTACCTACCCCTTGGCTTATGAGATGCATTTGCCTGCATTTGTAATGCATCAATAACTTCCACTCTCCTCCATTTGTAAACAATGCATTATATTAAATAGCCTGTGTCCAGCCTTGTATTGAAACAGACAATAAATTAGGGCTTCCAGTTCTTGGTTTTTACTGATTCCTAAACCTGCCAGTTACATGCCTGTCTGCCCCACTGAACATTATCTCTAAAGCTGAGAATGCACAAAGCCCTTGTTCACCGTTCCTCCTGTCTCCATCACTGCTGCCGGCTGTCAGTTTCACACCACCAAGCAGATTGTAATTGGCAGGATGAGGTGCAGAAATAGGGAATGGTTTGAATATGTGGTTCTCACTATACACACATGCACATACACACAAAATCCAAAATTTCTCTCTCTCTCTCAAACACACACACACACACACACACACACACACACACCTTTTCTGGCTTACAACGTTCTGCAAATTTAGGGGCTTGATTTGTGAAGCTTCTAATCAGAATCCACAAGGGCTGCCCTCATTTTCTAGCCCATGGATTGGAAGCAAATAGAGAAGGGAAACACAATGCAATCAACACCCAGTCCCGTTCTAATGCAGCCAGGCCTTGCCGGTCCTGGATGGATGTTGCTTTGAAAATGTGCCCTGCTGGGAGCCAGCCCTTATGTTTTGTCAGGAGGCTTCCCTGGGATCTAAAATCTGCAAGCTTCTCAAGAACCATAATCTCCTGTCCAGCCTTGAGTGAGGTCCTGGGGCAAAGAGCAAAAAATCTGGAAAGAGGAATCTAGCTCAAAGAATCTTGCATCATTTGTATAGATCTTTCCCTTCAGAGCAATAAAAACTTGTCATCAATCTTTCCATACGGTGTATTCCAACATCTACCAATCTTCCGCAAACTGAAACCTAGATGAACTGGATCATTTAAACCAGGGTTTCTCAATCTGGGCATTAGTGGTGTTTTAAACCAGATAATTTAATTCTTCGTCACAGGGGGCTGTCCTGTGCACGGTGGGATTTCTAGCAGCATCCCTGGCCTCTACTCACTTAAATCCCAGTAGTAGCTCCCCCAGAGCGTGACAATCAAAAATATCTCCAGACATTGCCAACTGGTCCCTGCGGTGCAAAATCGCCCTGGTTGAGAACCACAGTAACCGTTATATGTAGTCTTGATGTCTGCCCATCGCGACAGGCTTTCAGACCTGATAAGGCCCAGAGGGTTTCTCTAGTCCTGTGGTTCTCAGGATGTAGTCCCTGGACCAGCAGCATCAGCATCACCTAGGAACTTACTGGAAATGCATCGAGCCCCACCCTAGACACACATAGTCAGAAATTCCAGAGAGGGAGCCCAACAATCGGTGTTTTAATGAGCATCCTAGGGAATTCCCATGCAAGGTAAAGTTCAAGAACTGCTTCACTCCTCATTATTACCAATAGAAAAATCAAGATCTGGAGAGGTGAAGAGATGTTCCCGACATCACAGAGCTGCCTTTTCTTCTTTTTTAAATGCAGAATCTTGCTCCGTTAGCCAGTGACGTGATCTCAGCTCACTGCAATCTCAGCCTCCTGAGTAACTGGGATTACAGGCACATGCCACCACGCCCAGCTAATTTTTATATTTTTAGTAGAGACAAGATTTCACCATATTGGTCAGGCTGCTCTTGAACTCCTGACCTCAAGCGATCCACCCGTCTCAGCCTCCCAAAGGGCTGGGCTTACAAGTGTGAACCACCATGCTCAGCCTCCCAAAGTCACAGAGCTACTTTGAAAGGCAGACCATCTACCACCTGAACCAAAGCACTTACCACTAAATGACTCTCCTGTGCACCAGCCTGGGCCATTTTCCTGTCTCAGCTTCAGCCCTCTTGCCGCTTTTCTGAATTGCACCATTGTTCGTGCTTGTTTTCCCGCTCTTATACCCTTTGTGAGATACTGCCCACTAACCAGGCTGAGATTGAGTTTACAATCTCTGTTTGTATTTTCTTCCTGCTAGCAGCAGAGCGAGTGCCTGGCAGTGCGTATGGCAGTGAACACAGGTCTGCATGGTGGCTTTGTGGGTGATATCTGTTTGTGTCTCTATGTGTGTGCCTCTACGGCTGTGGCTACATGCATGCATCTAAGCATGTGTGTGCATATATTAGTTTTCTTGGGCTGCCATAACAAAGTGCCACAGACTTGGTGGCTTAAACAACAGAAATGTATTGTCTCACAGTTCTGGAGGCTGGAGGTCTGGGTAAAGGATTGGGAAGCTTGGTTTCTTCTGAGGCCCTCTTGTTGATGCCTCATCCACAGTCAGCCCTTGGTGCTGTGCCTCTGGCATCTCTTCCTCTTCTCATAAGGTCACAGTCACATTGGAAGGGTCCACCTTAATGGTCTCATTTTAACTTAATCAGCTCTTTAAAGCCCTTATCACCAAATACGGTCACAGTCCTGAGTGTTGGGAATTCAACATGCAAACTCTAGGAGGACACAGTTGAGCACATAGCAGTGCACAGAAAGGGGACATGAAAGGCAGAGGCCACTGTCACTGAGCGGCCAGGCTCCCCTCTCAGGCCCACATCCCCAAATGCAGGATCAGTAACCTGTGACCGCCGCTGGCAGCTTGTCCCTTCATTTGAGGGCCAGTGGCAGGCATGAATCTTGTAAGGCCGATTTCAGGCAGGCAGAAACTGACATGTTCCTTCTTTCAGATCAAATGACTATAAAAGTCATCTCTTGGGGCTCCCTGGAAAACATACATGTTAATTCAGGGTCAGCAGATGGACTATTTTTGACTAACATTCAAGCAGACTTTGTGATTTTTTTTTTTACCCCCTACAGTTGTCAGAATTAAAAATAGTAATTTTCACATCAGGTAGGCAGAGCCTCTGACCCCTAGTCTTGTTTGAATATTACTAGTTTAAAAACGCACAGTAAAATAAATAGACTTTCTAATTCAGAAGCAGCTCTGAACTACCGGCTGATTTCTATCCTGATTTGAGTCCCACATGGTTGCATTTGGGTCACCGCAGAAACTGTGTATTGAGAAGGCATAACGACCCAGGCTGCAAATGTACAGTGGAGCTTGGGTAAGAAACCTGGAGTCCTGACTTCAACCCCCAGGGTTATGTTCAGCCGGGTTTTATCTGTTTTAAATGGCACAACAGGATCTTCCTTGACAGATGCCTTGGGGTCAGGGCAGGCCACTCCTCAGCCTTGGGTTCTGGGAGCAACTTTGAAAGCTAGGACACAGGCAGTAGGAGATCACCAGGCCATCCTTCCTCACCCAACACTTGAGGTTTCTATGAGCTCCTAGAAATGGTAGGACTTCAGTCCCCGATAAGAATTAGTCCACAGATAAATGGGGAGAGGGCAATATACAGCCCCAGGTCAAACAGTTCTGACTAGGAAACCTAAATAGCAGATTGGAACACATGAAATTGCCTTTTTAAAAGTCAAGATGGCCAGGTGCGGTGGTTCACGCCTGTAATCTCAGCACTTTGGCAGCCAGAGGCAGGACGATCATCTGAGGAAAGGAGTTCGAGACCAGCCTGATGAATGTGGCAAAACCCCATCTCTACTAAAAATACAAAAATTGGGTGTGGTGACGTGTGCCTGTAATCTCAGCTACCTGGGAGGCTGAGGCAGGAGAATTGCTTGAACCCAGGAGGTAGAGGTTGCAGTAGCCAAGGTCACACCATTGCACTCCAGCCTGAGCAACAGAATGAGTCTCCATCTCAAATAGTAATAATAATAATTAATAAAATAATAAATAAAGTTAAATTGAGTAGAATGTTGGCAAGTTCATGTGGTTCAACTCATAACATACATGGGTCTCGACAGCTATCTTAGGAACCCTCCAATGCCCCCTACATTTAGAGGACTCGACGTACTGCTGGAGAGAGAACAGGAAGCAGGAGACAGCTTCAGAGAGCCCACAATCGAATTCAAGAGTCAGAAAATCAGACCAGGCACCGTGGCTCACACCTGTAATCCCAACATTTTAGGAGGCCAAGGCAAGAGGATCACTTGAAGCCAGGAGTTCAAGACGAGCCTGTGCAAATTACTAAGTCCCTGTCTCTATAACAAATAAAAACATTTGACAGGTATGGTGGCGCACATCTGTAGTGCCAGCTAGTTGGGAGACTGAGGCAGGAGGAACGCTTGGAGGAGTTCGAGGCTGCAGTGAACTACGATCGCACCACCACCCTCCAGCCTGGGTGACAGAGCAAGACCGTCTCTTAAAAAGAAAAAATGATTCAGAAAATTAGAAGTTTGTTCTTGTGTTATTCCTCTGTCAGAAAAATCAGAACTTAGATATGCAGTTCTCCAGTCTTTACATGAAAGATTCCTTAACACCAGAAATAAGTGTATCTGTGAGCTGGTGGATGTCCACAAGCTGTTTGCTACCAGTTCATGACAAGAAAATACAGAAATTTAAAATAATCATTGAAAAACACTTATAACAATTTGATATCATAATTTTATTTCTGTTTAACAGTAAAAAAAAATAGAGTTTGAGTTCTGTATATCTGGGTTATTTCATTTTTCTTTTCTTTTCCTTTTTTTTTTTAAGATGGAGTTTCACTCTTGTCACCCAGGCTGGAGTACAGGGGCACCATCTTGGCTCACTGCAACCTCTGCCTCCCGGATTTAAGCGATTTTCATGATTCAGCCTCCCGAGTAGCTGGGATTACAGGCACACTCCACCACGACCAGCTAATTTTTTATATTTTTAGTAGAGACAGGATTTCACCATGTTGGCCAGGCAAGTCTCGAACTCCCAACCGATCTCAAGTCCCACCTCGGCCTCCCAAAGTGCTGGGATTACAGTCATAAGCCACCCTGCCCTATACCTATTTCACTTGCTAATTATTCAATGTTACTTTATTTTAAATATTATCATTCCACAAAGGATTTTTTTAAAGGATATTTTTTAAAGACCTTTCACCACAGATACTTGAGAAGTACTAATCTGCAGGAAGGTAGATATCAGCTTAATATAAATAACAAGAACTATTGTCATGATGTTATTATGTACGTGTCCCATTATAAAGTCTTGCAACATACACTCATTGACTTCACAGAGCAACCTTCAAGTAAGAACTGATATTACTCCAATTTCACAGATGAGGAAACTGAGTCACAGAGAGGAGAAATTACTTTCCCAGTATTGCACGACCAATCAGTCATAGGGCTGAGAAGGGAATTCAGGCAGTTTGGCTCTTGGGTCCATGATGGTTACGTAACCTCTGCCATGAAATATATGAGATAACTTAATTCATATGTAAGTGGCAAAATATAAAGGAAATCAAGGAATGATTAACGCCAGAACTTGGGAAGAGAGTTTGGTGGGAGGAAGGAAGGCAGGGGATGTAACAGGAGGTGTGCGTGCCAGGAGTCAAAGGTCTGCTTACATCCTGTGCCCTAACCTGGTGAGGAATATGTACAGGTGTTTATTCTATGACACTATCATCCTCCAATGGTACACACGCATTTTACTCACTCTTTGATGTGTATGATACATTTCACAGTTGTAAAATGTTTTAGGAGTTACTGGAGCTGTCAAAACAATGGCAGCCATGGTCTCTGGAGAGGATGAGCGCCCCCTGATGGAGAGGACAAAAACATCCATTCTCCTCCATCAGGCACCGGGTAGTTGGGAAGCAGAAGGACCTCAAAGTTTACTTCTTTTTTTTTTTTGAGACAGAGTCTTGCTCTGTCACCAGGTTGGAGTGCAGTGACGCAATCTCAGCTCACTGCAACCTCCGCCTCCCAGGTTCAAGCGATTCTCCTGCCTCAGCCTCCTGAGTAGCTGGGACTACAGGCGTGCACCACCATGCCCAGCTAATTTTTGTATTTTTAGTAGAGACAGGGTTTCACCATGTTGGCCAGGATGGTCTGGATCTCTTGAGCTCGTGATCCACCCACCTCGGCCTCCTAAAGTGCTGGGATTACAGGCGTGAGCCACCGTGCCTGGGCAACATTTACTTCTATTCAGACTCTAAGCTTCTTCCTAAAGTCACATTCCCGAATTCATAGGAAGGAAGAAGCCCACATTACCTGAGACTTTGTGGCCACACCTTTATAGAGTGATGCAGAATTGACATTTAAGGTTGACAGAAGTGCCCGACTTGAGAAAATATACAAGAGCACAGGTTACAATGCCAGAGGATACTGAGGGAGTCCTTGGTATATTTTGAGAGCTTTCACTGTGTGTGATTGGGACATTAATACTGATGCAGATAAAATGGGGGCCACTCCAGGAAACAGATGATGCTGCTTGCCTTGGAGGAGACTGCGGTAAAGTGCATATTTGTGCTACACAAGAACTCTTCTTTTTCTTCTCTCACCTTTTTGAAACTTGGTCTTGCTCTGTCACCCAGGCTGGAGTGCAGTAATGCATTCACAGCTCACTGCAGCTTCAACCTCCATGGCTTATGCAATCCTCCCACCTCAGCCTCCCAAGTAGCTGGGACCACAGGCCACCAACCAGGCTAATTTTTAAATTTTTTGTAGAGACATAGTCTCACTATGTTGCCCAGGCTGGTCCCGAACTTGGCTTAAGCAATCCTCCTGACTCAGCCTCCCAAAGTACTGGAATTATAGGCATGAGCCACCATGCCTGGCCTAAGAACTCCTCTTGCTGTGTAGACAGCTGGTGTTGCCAAGGAAAGTCTGGGTGTGAAAGGTTCAAACCATTTTGGGGTATGTCAACAACAGCCATGTGACATGAAGACCTAGACCCCTAATCACCACAGAAGCCAGGATGATGTGCAAGACACTTCAACAAGCATGTTCCTGAGAGGCCACAGATCCCGGGGTCCCACACCAAACCAGCTGAATCAGAATCTCTTGAGAGTCGAGCCTAGAAATCTGCATTTCTACAAATCGCATCCCCTACTCTGTGCTTCTGATTGAGGTATTCTGGGACCATGGTAAGACAACAAAGATTTGTAATCTCACAAACCTGGATCTAATCTTGTTTCTGCACTTACTGGTTGCATGGTCTTAAACAAGTCATTTGACTTCACTGAGCCCTCGTAGTCCCATCTGTAAAACTGGGTGATATTACTTACCTCTCAGAGTTACTGGGAAGATTTAATTAGAGATCGTATATAAAGTACAAGTACTTGGCTATAATAAGCACTCAAAATCTTTCATGAGATTTATTTACTGTCATTTATGACAATCCACAATATTCAAGGCAACGTGGGGAAGAAGCCGAGGGAAGAATACCAAAAAGGACAAACAGCCTCCTGCCTTCAAGGAAATTCTCTCTAGTGAGGCTGCTTTTAAAGATTTCCTAGGCCCATCATGGTGGCTCAAACCTATAATCCCAAACTTTTGGGAGCCAAGGTGGGAAGATCACTTGAGCCCAGGAATTCAAAACCAACCCGGGCAACATAGCAAGACCCAATCTCTCCAAAAAATAAAAAATGAACTGAGCATGGTGCGCACCTGCAGTCCCAGCTACTCAAAAGTTTGAGGTGGGAGGATTGCTTGAGCCTAGGAGTTCGAGGCTTCAGTGAGCTACGCTTGTGCCACTGCAGCCTGGGTGACAGAGCAAGATCTTGTGTAAAAAGCTAATTAATAATAATAATAATAATAAAACTTTCTTATAAAGCTACCAGGAAAATAAATTCTCAACTTTTTTCTAGGGTTATCAAGGCATTACCAGCCTGAGTTAAAGCCACTTTAAACCCTTGATCTTATTTGGGAGATGCCTTTAGAAGTTGGAGGTAGGTGGGAAATCTACTGAGACTGTGTATAAGCTAAAAACAAACAAACAAACAAAAAAAAACCTTCTTTAAGCCAGACTGGGGACCATGAGGGACATTAAACTATCAATTGACCAGAAGTTTACCAGCCTGTGCCCTCGTTATCCTACTGAGCCCTTTGTGCCAATGGATGTAATGCTAGAAAGCACTACAGCCTTAAGGAATGTGCAACAGTGCTATTGGCCTCTGTTTATCAAACTCCCCTTTACTGAACAGTGGCTCCCAGGACCCTGTTCCCATCTATCTGCCCAGAAAGAAGGGAGCAGGGGAATCACATCAGTCTCCTCTGATGCACCTGGACCAGGCTCTTGCGAAGCCTAACCCCTCTAAAGGGAAAATGAGCCCCCAGTGAAAGCACATCTGATTTTTCAAGGCTCTGTGAGCTAAGCCTTTGTAAGTACTACTGCTAATTCTCTGTGCCAATGAAGGAATATCAGTAGCAGCTTTATCTCAAAATTATCATTAATTCAGAAAATGCTATCTGGGGGCTCTAAGACTGCACAATTCTTCAAAGAAATTACTCTATTCAAACTGACCCAGAGAAACTAAAAAGTTGTACACTGGCCCTAATCTGAACTCTTCCCACAGCTGGGTCCACTCTAGAGCTAAGCAGCAATCCTGGGACTGATGGAAAGCCATCCAAAGCTGATTCTCCTTCTCTCTGATTTGAACATGGTTGGGGTGATACACAGGGGTTTTTTTGTTTGTTTGTTTGTTTGTTTTTGAGACGGAGTTTCGCTATTGTTTCCCAGGCTGGAGTGCAATGGCGCGATCTCTGCTCACCGCAACCTCTGCCTCCTGGGTTCAGGCAATTCTCCTGCCTCAGCCTCCTGAGTAGCTGGGATTACAGGCACACGCCACCGTGCCCAGCTAATTTTTTGTATTTTTAGTAGAGACGGGGTTTCACCATGTTGACCAGGATGGTCTCGAACTCTTGACCTCGTGATCCACCCGCCTCGGCCTCCCAAAGTGCTGGGATTACAGGCGTGAGCCAATGCACCTGGCCCCCACAGGGTTTTAATTCAAAAGACCTCTTGGTAAAGTTAAAGACTGCATAGAAGCCTACCTGTACATGAGAGCTAGTGAATATGTTGAAGTAAGAACTTTATCACCTTTGCTAATTGTGTCAAGAATAAACTTAAATCAAGATTTTTTACGGGGGAACAATAGTCGGATAATCCATCATCAGACAAGTGGAAACTGATCGCTAGGAAAGAGTTATGATTGCTAGTTATGATGCTTACCTTGGCAAAATGGATTTCAATGGATTCTCTGGGTAGAAATTTAAAACATTGATGCCAGATCCTACCCCCAGACCAATTACATCAGAATTCCTGGGGATAGGACCCAAACATCAGTATTTTTTAAAAAATTCCCAAGTGGTTCTAATGGGCAGCTTGGCCTGAGAACGTAGCCTTAGTTAGCAGAGTTTCCTTACCTGAAGCAGTAAACGCTGCTTTTAAAGCAGTTTGACTTTTTCCCTTGAGCACCAGGAGAATCATGTTGATTAATTAACATTTTCCAAACAACGGCAATGAATTAACTGCTGCTAATGTTCAGGCCATGGAATTAGACACAACTCCTGTACACCTGACTTATCTCCCCAGATAGAAGCTTGAACATGGGTTTCTGAGAATGAGGGCTTAGCAAACAACAGTCGGAGAGAGATTGACCTTAGCTGAGCAAGCACCATGTAGGGAGCAAAAAGACAAAATTACAAGCTCATTTCCACATTCACTCAAATATTTATCAAGTGTGCCAGGAACAGGGCTAGGAGCTGGAGGTTCTGAGATGATGTGAACATGACCGAGGCAGGAACTGAAGGTCTAATGGGGAGAAGGAAATGTAGACAAAACTTTCCAGCCTTGCAATATGTGATCAAGTTACACAGTAAATACTTCCTTCCAAGGGGGAAGCACAGTGGCCTCGAGGTGACAGGGGAGGCTTCCTGGAGGAGGAGATGTATGAGCTGATTGATGAGTGGAAATCTGCCAGATCAATGGGGACGAATGCACAGGCAAAGGGAGAGAAGAGCTTGAGCAGTTCTTGAAACAGCATGCATGATGGATGACACTGGAAAGGCAGGCAGGAGATTGATTATAAATTATAATTATATCGATTATTGTGTCAGTGAAAGATTTTTACCTTAACCATAAAGGCAGATCAGTTGAATCCTGGAGTTCCAGACCAGACTGGGCAACAAGGTGAAACCTCATCTCTATAAAAAATATAATATGTTAGCCGGGTATGGTGGTACACACCTATAGTCATAGCTACTCAGGAGGCTGGGGTGGGAGGATCACCAAGCCCAGGAGGTTGAGGCTGCAGCGAGTCATGATTGTATCACTGCATACCAGCCTGGGTGATAGAGTGAGACCCTGTCTCAAAAAATAGAAATAAAGCAGGGATGTGACATGATCAGATTCACATTTGGAATGACCGCTCTGGTAGTTTAGAGAGCCTTGCTACTCAGGGTGTGGTGCTTAGACCAACGTCATCAGTAACACCCAGCAGCTTGTTGGAAATTCTAAAAACCTCAAGCCCTATTTCAAACGTACTAAATCAGAATCTATCTTTTAATAAGCTCCCCAGATGATTCATGTGCGCATTAAAGTTTGAGACACACAGTTAAGAAAGGATAAATTTTCATGAGAAAGAGGTGAAACTTTAGGACGACCATGAAGGAGACCATGGCAATAATTTGTTAAACTGTTTCTTTAAATAGTTCTTTAGCAATTACATATGGATGAGGACTCCATGTCCTCCAAAGTATCCCACTGACATGTGAAACACTCAAGCAATAATTTTACAGATAAGCTGAATTTTCTTCTTAAATTACCTCCATTTTCACCAGATTAGCAAGAATCCCATAGACATGGCCATAGCAGGACAACCACATGCCATGTGTACTGAACTATGCAATATCTTTTGCAGAATTTCAGATAGAGATTCAACAGAGGAGGTCTCTTTGTCTAGTTTTAATGATGGGTACAGGCAATAAGGCCATAGCCTTTCCTACTGTTATCCCAAAGCCCATGAGTGGTGTGGGCACTGCCTTGATAACAGGAACCCAAAGACTGATACTAAAGTCAAGTGTGAACTTTACAATTGCTGATGGTGTGTTCTCAGAGACAGAGAAGGACGCAGAGAACTGAAAAGAGAGTCGGAAGAGGCTATGTGTCTTGGGGAAGTCTTTAGCGAAGAAAATCCCCTCTCTCTAATCATGGGCAATAGTAATGATGGGACCGAGCTGATTCTCTTTTTCATTAGAAAATAGCCCTCTCCCAGAAGTGAATCTCGAGGAATTTGAAAGAGGGAGTGTGGTCTTCTAGGTAAGAAGTAGGGGGTTTAAAAGGACAAACGAGGAATTAGTCTATAAATAAGCACACATGCACCTCATCCCTAACAATCAGCATGCTATTGAACAGGGTGTACAAATTGGACTTGGGTTAAATTAAATCTATTTTAAGCTCATTCTGGGACTTCGCTATTTAAAGGAATCCTTTGTAAAGTGGATAATCACTCACTAATGACGGTTTTGTTAAATCTGGAGTTCTACAAAGCAGAAGTTCCCAAACTGTGCTGGGAAGATCACCCCACAGATACATGGCAGAGTACCACTTCTCTGTGTGCCAGAGAACCAATCTCTCTTAGGGAACCCAACCTCAACAAGAAATAGAGTCCTGTTATGGAAAATGCATAGGTGACAGAAAAAAGAACACATAACGTGGTGACTAAAAACAATCTGGGACCCAAGGGTGAAGTGGGGGCTCGTAGGGAGACAGCAGATGAGTTTGTGGGCAGCAAATGGGACATAGACAGCAGAGAGAGTGAATGACCACAGAGGATAGGGAGACTGTACTTGAATTATTACTAAAACCTTCTCTTGTTTTCTTGTGACAGCATCTCTTACCAGTACTAAATCCTTCTTGACCATAACCTCAGGATTTCTAATGCTGATACCCAGAATGTTTCAAAATATTCTTAATCCAGTTACCTTTTTGGCATCTGTGAGTTCTTAACTAACTAGAGAAACATTTTGGTTGGGTGCAGTATAATATACGATTAATTTAGTGTTAATTGAGTGATCTTGCATATCTTGACTCTAGGTGCCAAAAGAGGACAGCCTTCTTGCTGGCCTCCTTAGATTGCTAAGGTCAGTCTATGTCTGATTGTTGTTTGCTAAGCCCTTATTCTCAGAAACCCACATTCAAACTTCTATCTGGGGAGATGAGACAGAAAAGAGAGAGTTTAAATAGAAAACTGAAAAATGGGGAAAGTTTGGTAATTGGGAAAGGGAGATAGGAAATGGCAGTTAAAGCCAGAGGCACAGCTACATAAGACCCTCTCTTTAAATTAGCAAGCACAAGTCACGAGCTCTCCAATAAAAAGACCTATCTGGCCATAAGCCTACCATGGGACTCCAAGAAAGGACCCAGGGTGAGGAGTTGAGGACCAAGCAGTTCCACTTCCCAATAGTGATCTAGGATCACCGCATCCTCCTTAGCCACTCACACTGTCCGTAACACAGGACTGCCTCTACCTGCATCCCAAGACTGAATGAGAAGGAAACTCTTCATTCCTTCAATAAATATATATTGAGTCCCAAATAATATTGGGGCAGGAGGTTTGAGAATTACTCCTTTGCCTTCATAAAAAGTTTGCATGGAGTGGGAAGATTAGGAGAAAGGCTAAGAAATAATTCCTCAGGTCAAAGAAAAGCAGGTCTCAATTTATGTAAGTTGGATGTTAGAAGATAATGTATTTGGGCTGGGCGCAGTGGTTTATGCCTTTAATTCCAGCACTTTAAGAGGCCAAGGCAGGTGGATCACTTGAGGTCAGAAGTTCAAAATCAGCCTGGCCAATATGCTAAAACGCTGTCTCTACTAAAATTACAAAAATTAGCTTGGTGTGATGGTGCACACCTGTAATCCCAACCACTCAGGAGGCTGAGGCAGGAGAATCACTTGAACCCGGGAGGCAGAGGTTGCAGTGAGCCAATATCATGCCACTGCACTCCAACCTGGGCAATGGAGTGAGACTCAGTCTCAAAAAAAGAAATTACTTAATCCCAGGGCTATTAAACATTGCAACGGGCTCCTTCTAAGGTCATAGAGATAGAGGCATTTCCAAAGAAGCTTTCCTGAGAGATGTGTGATTTGGAGGACAGGATAAACACCTGGCAGCTTCCTCACAGTTGGAGGTGAACCATACCAGAGTCCTTTTTTCTGAGACTGTCATATGCACACCCTCCTGCTGCATCTTCCCCTCTTCCCCTCTACCAGGTCCTGTGGAAGGCAGAGGCTGGGAGGTCTCAGAAAGGTGGGAGGTACAGAAGCACTGGCCCAGAAAATCAAAAGAGAAATCAAGGGATGAAAAACTCCAATAGATAGACCAGTGAAAGGGTCAGAAAGGGGTTAACTAGAGTCAAAAGAAGCTCCATTTAGATTTCAACCAAGATCAGTCCCAGCTATTTCTCAAAAGCTTTTAAGACAGCAGGTAACTTAGCAACTGACCTATGTTTGTTTTCTGTTTCTGTTTTTACCCATGTCAGTTTCTCAGCAGTTACTATCAGCAACAACAACAAAAAATGCTTAGAATTGTGCATTTACTGAGAGATGGGAAGCAAGAAATAAAAATTACGGGCTAGGCCATTTGGCAAGGTTGTGTCAAGACAGGACAGCAAAAAAGATAAGCCAAACATCCAACCCTTGGGATTCTCAGAAGAAAACCTATCACCTAAGAGCCCATAAACTCTCTTAGAAGAGCACATCCCAGAAGAAGGCCCTGGTAGGACATTTCCTTGATATGCTTCAGGAAAGAAGCACTTGCAGGTTTTACTTCTCACTTACCTAAAAATCAGCCCCAAACTAGGCAACTTGTCTACACAGACCTGTTGGTTGTATTCCACATCTCCCAGGCAAGCCCTTACTCCAGACCAAAGAGAGTAGGAGAGAATTCAGACTCTTTTATAGCTGACTTGAACCCCAGCCCTCCATTCTCACCAGACTCAGCTCTCCCCTTAGTGAAGAATGTTTTGAAAGGCCATAGCCTATGAGCTCTCCCAGTTGTCAGGGATGACTTTTCATTGAAGTGGTAGAAATAGCCACACTACCTGAAAATCACACACATGCACATGTGCGCACACACACACACACAAGCAGGCACGCGCATTCACACACCCCTTGACCTCTCTTTGCTGTGCTGCAGTCAGACAGCAAGCAGTTCGCTGTGGCTGTTGCAGGGACAGCTCCCTGTCTCCTTAGTAGCTAGGTGGCATTAATGTGCATATCAGCACCACCCTGGTGGACAGCTCTCAGCAGACCCATCCCTGGCGCTTTCCCCAGAGATTTGCTCAAAACTCTGGGTCGGTCATGGGAGGGAAGCAGACTTCCTAGTTGTCCCCTCAGCCACTCCTTTCACTATGCCTTGAGACAGACCAAAGATGTTCTGTGACTCCTAAGTAGGGCTCTCATTCTTCCCCGAGGACAGCCACATATCTTTCAGGTGCTTTGAGGCAGGCGGTTATTTGCACTGGTTAAGACTTCAGTGATGCCATAAGGAATTCCAGGTATTTCTATCTTTCCACTGTGCCATCATTTGCTAATTGATTTTTGTCATCTAAGTCTCAACATAGCTGACCCTGCTCCAGATGCCACATCCATATTCAGGAAAGACAGACAGATGGGAGAAGGGAAGCCATTCTAGCAACATCTGTCCATTTATTAGTCCATGAGATGCCCAGAGAGTTCCAAGAGGGCCTTAGTGGTCAGTACCATCAGATGACCACTTCTAGCCACAAACAAGGCTGGGAGAGGGAATATTTAGGTTTCCAGGTTTTGTAGTTAAAAGAGAGAGAAGGGGTTCATGTAATCACCTAATGTATCGACCACAAACAAAAAACATCACTGCTGTGAGGCTACTTTCTCATCTGTAAAATGCAGTCGTTCTAGCATTTATTTTGTAGGGATGGTGTGAAGCTACACAGCATGGTTGTCATAGATGCAGGACACACAGGTACAGAGATCGCAGGACAAGCACTGAGAAGTCCATAGGCACCGCAGGAGAAGAGCAAACAAAACTTTGGGTTACCATGTGGTACCAACATCTATAAAGAACCTTTCAGGCTACAGCAAGGCACATCAATATAAATATCATAGGAAGTGTGAGTCCTTTCTATGGGCAGGAAGGAAGGAAGCAAGCAGGAAGCAGATCTGG